GGTTGCAGCATCCCCGCTCCAGATAGCGCACGCCCCCAGACCTCTTACAATATCGTCTTGGAGATCCTGAAGCAGTGCCGCGAGAGCCAGGATGCCATGCTCGCAGCACACCTCTCTGAGATACGTCCTTGCCCCTTCTACAGCACGCGCGTGGAGCATCCCCCGGCGAGCGGCGAAGGTAACGCTTCTCAGCTTGCCCGGAACTGTCAATTGGCATTGGCTCTTGTTCGCGCCACACAGAAGTCGCGATGCGTGTCCACTGCGAGTGGCTTCCTCGTGTCTACACCAGGTGTGACGGACGCCTCTGACGATGAGAATTCACACGCGGTGACCATTCACGGCTATTGCTCCGTAGACAAGTTGCTCTCTTTCAAAATGGACCCGCCCAACAGAGCAAAGCACAGAGTCTGCTTGTTGCTCCTTACAGGCTGTTCACAAGATGCTATCACGGTGCACAACGTTACCCGCATCGACGGGGGCGCAGTGACAGAGGCGCAGTACGTCATCGAGAAATTGAGGACTCTGGGCATGCGCACAGAGCTTCAGCAATCTGGTGAGCACCAGCGGATGAATGCGTGGAGTACGACACCCGACTCAGCGAAGAAGTGCAGAATCTTCGAAGGCCACCCGTCAGGAGAAAGCTTGACATGATATGCTACTGTCTTGCCAGCGACGCTTCTCAGCTTGCTGCTCCTCGCGTGCCTTAGGCTTTTTCGCTGCTTGCTTGGCGAATTCGGATTCGTCTTGCAGTCAGCCAGCGATGTTTGCCTCAAGTCTCTCACTTCACAGCCCCCGCTGACGCGCATTCGCCCGCGGTGCTTCTCAGCCCTCAGTTGCTGTTGTAACTGCTTGTGCGGGATTATTCACTTGGGCCCGCAGCGCTTCCCAGCCTGCCATTGCTCTCGTGAGTGCCGCCACAAAGTTTTGATTTCAGCACAAGAATAACGTGATCCAGCGGGTGCAGGAATGAGTGCCGAAGGTGGCGCCGCGGCTGTCGACGAGCTTCCACGGCGGCTTCACTCGCCGCTGCAACTGGATCACTTTTTGGCTGCGGTGCTTCTCACCCTGCAGTTGCTTTTCCAGACGCGTCGATGCTACGGCGGTCGGCAGTGTCTCTTCAATCATAACATCATCATCATCAGTGGCGTCGCCGAGCACCCCGCTGGAGACTCAGTTCTTACGGGTCCGTGCCCATACTACTACTACTACTACTACTACTACTACGACTACTACTACTACTATTACTACTACTACTACTACTACTAGTACTACTACTATTACTACTACTACTACTACTACTACTGCTACTACTACTACTACTACTACTACTACTACTACTACTACTACTACTACTACTACTAGTACTACTACTACTACTACTACTACTACTACTACTACTACTACTACTACTACTACGACTACGACATCGCACTAAATCCAGTCATGGGAGTGCCTGTTTTGGAGCTACATTCATTGATGCAAGTGTTTCGTATGAGGCTCAACCCGTTGATAGCAGTGTCTCGTTTGGACCTACATCCGTTGATAGCAGTGTCTTGTTCAGACCTCAGTGCATGTATACGAAGATTTCCTTTGGAGGTGCCGTTATCGAAAGCAGTGTTTCTACTGCTACTACCACTGCTCCCATCACTCCTAGACGTTCACTCCACACACTACAACTACTACTTCACTGCCACCATTAGTACCATCACCACTACTTCTACTGTTACTACGAGTGTTACTATTACTGTTGCTGCTGCTGTTGCTGCTGCTAGTGTAGCTATTGCTACTGCAACTACTGGCAGTGCCATTGCGACTGCCGCTGATGTTGCCACTGCGACTGCCACTGCGAATCCGAATGCGGCTGCGAGAACACCAGAATTCTACAACAGCGCTCTTACATGAATACCATAGGCAATGTTTCAATATATGCTCCTACACATCGCTGTTAGGTTGTTTTGCCGGGATACGGTCGTTCCCCTAATGGTGGTCGTCACCATTCGGTCTTCCCCCCGTCACTATCCCATCCATCGGTGCTGCCCCGCCCTGTTCTCGTGTGGCATGCAGCGCTTGAACCTTGCACGCAGTGTCACCAAAATAGCACGCGCCTGGTCAGATCATTTGGTGTGCAGGATGCGCCAGGTAGCGTTACAGTCAACCCGCATAGTAAGGATGGGCAACCTTCCCAAGGGTACCCTTGCATCCTTGCCTCCTCGGCCCATCCTTGGCCGCTTTCGCTGGTCGCGCCCCGCTCGGAAACTTCGAAATGGGCGTCCACGGCCCTTGCATCCTTATCGCGCGTCCTTACTGTGCGGGTTGACTGTACTACATGCTGCATATCGGTTGGGTACGTCCTTGTGACCTCTGCTGGGCGTCGCTCCTGCTGTGACGACCCCGCTCTGTCTCTGATCGTCGATCGTCGGCGCGGCCGCCGGGTTCGCCCGGCACCCTTTCGGAGAGGCTGGCGTCAAGGGGCCCATTGTTGTGCGGTGCGCCTGCATCTAGTGTTATGATGTTCCAACCTACTTTAACCTTGATCACCAGGAAGAATTTCGAGCGCCCAAAAGAGTACCGAAATTCAAGGGTTTTCACGTGTCGGGCCCTGGGAGACACTCGCCCGACACTGTTTCGACACTCTTCGGGATGCTCGAAATTATTAATCGCTTCGCTCATTCCGCCGGCCCATACAGTCTCATGTCTGCCGTTTGCCCGAGGGCCTGGTGTCAATGCGGCGCTTTGGGGGTTCCTGGGGCCGCTTGGGGCACTCCTGGGGCGCTCGGGGGGGCATTTGGGGGGCCTCCTGGGGCCGCTTGGGGGACTCTTGGGGGCCTCCTGAGGGCCCCGTGGGGGCCTCTTGGGGCCTCTTAGGGGCCTCGTAGGGGCTTCTTAGGGCCGAGGGCTCGAAATGTTGTTTCGTGTTCCCTCTCTGGGGCCCCTTTGGGGGCGTTCTTGGGGCCCTCTTGGACCGTTTTGGAGGCTTCTTGGGCCGTCTTCGAGCCCTCTTGGGCCATCTTGGGGCCCTCTTGGGTGCCTCTTGGGCCCTCTTGGGGCGATCTTGGGGGCCTCTTGGGCCGTCTTGGGGCGTCGGGAAGCCGAAAAGGTGGAAGCTCCAAAATCTCTCAAAAACCTATGGAAAAACAATGATTTTTGCCTCCGGGGGCCCTATTGGGAGTGCTCTTGGAGGCCTCTTGGGGCGTCTGGGGGCTATCTTGGGCGTCTTGGAGCGATCTTGTGGCATGTCGGACCCCTCGTGTACCATCTTGGGGGCCTCTTGGGGGCCTCTTGGCCTTTCTTGGGGCTCTCGGGGACGTCTCGGAGCCCTGTTGGTGCGCTCATGGAGCGCTCGGGGGGACCCGGCCGGGACCCGGCCGGGACCCGGCCTGGGTCGGGGTACTTTTCGTCCGGGGACCCCCAGGGGCCGCCCCGCGCGCGCGAACTAGAAAATTGTTAACCAGTTACCGGAGATCTTAGCACGCCTCTGGCCCGTTGGACCGGCGAATTGGGCTGGCCTCCGGCCAGTGCCGCCGATCCAGGGGGGGTGAGACTTGGGGACTTTTTGGAGGTTTCTGGAACTGTCTTCGGGGCATCTTGGGCGGTTCGAGCGATGTTTCGGCGATTCGGGGCCCTCTTGCATTGTCTAGGGGTCCTCTGGGGCCTCACTTGGCTTCCTCTGGGGCTGTCTTGGGCGGTCGGGGCTCCGGAAGTGGAGTTTTCTATACCCCCCTGTCCACGGGTACCGAAAAACGTCGGGAATGACGTCGGGAATATCTCCGTGTACCGAAAAACGTCGGAAATGACGTTGGAAATAACGTGCCCCCTCCCCCCCCCTGCAGAGCGAAGCTTGAGCGAGCTCAAGTCCACGCTCTCAGAAACTCACACGCCGGATCGGCGGATTTGTGGGACGTGGTAGGTACGATGGGAACAGCATACATCGACTGGCCTTCGGCCCATCCCGTCACCCTACGGGACCCAAACATGCAGGCCTCGGACAGACATAGCGAACACTCATACCACATTCATCTGTGAACGCCTCCCCCCCCAATGTTCAAAGTTGGCGGTGGGTCTGGTGAACTGCACCTCGACCGCAGTCTCCCCCGCGCGTGCCAGCTTTGAGTTTGGGGGGCAGGGGCGGTGTTCACTACTTCTTTCCTTCTACCGTATGCACCCCCACTAACTCCCTCACCCCCTCCCTCTCCCAGGAAAGAGGAGGGGAAGAAGAGGGCAGAGGAGGGCGCAAGAATCGACGTGGTGGTGGTGCATATTCTGAGGGCCCGCATCACCGTGTCTGGGTTGTGGGTCGGAGTCCTCAGGGATGCTTCTTGGGGTCTCTTCGTCGCGCCCTCGGGGACCAGGGGGCAGTTCTGGGGGCCTCCTGGGAGCCTTGAGAGGTTGAGAGGGCCTCTTGGGAGTCTCTTGGGGGCCTCTTGGGGGCCTCTTGGGGCCTCCTGGGGCATCTCGGGGCATCTGGGGGGCTCCTTGAGGGCCTCTTGTGGCCCTCTTGGGGGCTCTCGGGGCAGGGGGCTCGAAATGTCCGTTCGGCTCCCCAGTCTGGGCCTGCTCTTGGAGCCGTCTTGGAAGCCTCTGGGGCCGTCTTGGAGGCCTCGTGGGCCGTCTTGGGGTCCTCTTGGAAGCCTCTTCTGTTGTCTTGTGGCGATCTTGGGGGCCTCTCAGGCCGTCTAAGACCGTCGGGAAGCCGAAAAGGCGAGAACGCCCCAACATCATTTGACAATCGATGATGTGTGCCTCTTGAGGCCCTCTAGGGAGTGCTCTTGGAGGCCTCTCGGGGCGTCTTCGAGGCTTCTTGGGGGCCGTCTGGAGGCCATCTTGGGCTTCTTGGAGCGACCTCTCGGCGATTCCGTGCCCTCCTGGACCATCTGAGCGGCCTCCTGGGGTTCTCTTGGCCCGTGGTGCAGCCCTTCTGGGCGAGAGAGCGAGGGGAGCGCCCCGGAGGCCCCCGCGACACACCCTAAGAGCGCCCATGGGCGCTCGGGGAACTGGGCTGCATGCGCCTTGGGGCACTCGACTTCTTGCCGGAGGCACGGTGGCGGTTCTCGAGTCAATCCGACCAACACGACCAGGCGATTCTGTCGGTCGGTTCGTGCTTCGGGGCCACTCTGTGGGCAGCCAAAGGTATCTTCACGAGTGTTCGTTGTCTCCCCTCCCGAGGCGAGCCGGCTCGTTGCCGATGCGCGCAAGAAGGGCGCCTCGGCGGAGGAGATCGCGAGGCTCGAGGAGAACGTGACCTCGGCGGTTGCGGAGGACCCGCGGCTCTCTTTCCTGCGTCTTCATCTCTCCGCCCTCCCCCCAAGCGGTTTAGACATGTTTAGGCCGGAGCTCAAGGGGGGCATGCAATTTTGCTTGCTTGCTCGTACGCACGTGTGGTCGCCTGGGCGTGCAGAGAACACGAGGAGCATCAGGAAGGACTCCCCCCATTTCCCCTCCATTCCATCTTCCCTCCCTCCGCTCTCGTCCTTCCTCGCTCCGTCCTCGCTCTCTCCTCGCTCCCCATTTCTATCATGTGCATCCGTGTTCCCTCGAGTCTGATTGACGCAACGAGCACCCAGTTGCCATGCCTGCGTGCGGCGGCCTTCCTCGCTTCCCCCTGCCTCCCTCCCTCCGCTCCTCCTCCTCTGTTCCTCCTCTTCCTCTTCCTCGTCCTGGTCCTCCTCCTTACTCCTCCTCCTCCTCCTCCTCCTCCTCCTCAGCCATTCCTCCTCCCCCTCCTCCTCCTCCTCCTCCCTGCGCGAGCGAGGGGGGGCGATGTGGGGAGCATGGCGCGGCGCGGCCCTTCCCGCCTGCCCCAGGGAGCGCAGTTGCAGATCCTCCGAGTCGGAGATCGGCTGCAGAGTCGATTTGCCCACAATTCATCTGTTCGTCGAATCCATGAGAAGTGCGCAGGATCCCTGTAGATAGGTCGAAGAACACTCTACGTGTGACTCGACGAGCAAGTCGATAGTGGGGGCACATCAGTTGTTGTCGATCCCCTGCTCGAGTCGTCGGGCGGGTGGCAAGGGGGGGGGAACCGAAACGGGGATGAAGGCACGGGCCGTGAAGGGGGGCCCTTCTGGGCCCCTTTGAGGCCACTGCTGGCTCCAGAAGGGGCCCAAAATAATGGCCCCATTCAGGGTTAAGTCGGGCCTGTCCCTCAACGGGGGAATATTCAAAATAGTCAACAAATAGTTTGGGGACCATTTTTAAAACTATTCTGGAGTATGTTTGGGGCACTTCTGGCGTATTTTTTATGTTTTGTCCAACGCCTGACTAGAACCCCCAGCAGCTTGGAGGCCACCCTTCTGCCCGTCGTCGACAGCTCGCTCGGCAGGGGATGCCCAGGAGCTGTGCCCGGGGGCTGCGCGCGGGCTCGCGGGCGTGTGGCCCGGCAGCTGGTCTGTGGGGTCGTGGTCTCGGGCCCAGGGTTCGGGACGGGGCGCTGCGGCTAGGTGGGGTGTTCGGGTTAGGGTTAGGGTGTTCGGGTTAGGGTGTTCGGGTTAGGGTTTTCGGGAGGGTCAGAGTGCTCGGGTTAGGGTTAGGGTTTTCGGGAGGGTCAGGGTTGGGGGTAGGGTGTTCGGGTTAGGGTTAGGGTGTTCGGGAGGGTCAGGGTGTTCGGGTTAGGGTTGGGATTTTCGGGCTCATGGGCTGGTGCTCGGGGTTACGGGTGCTAGGATCACGGCGTTGGTGTTCAGGGGTCGAGTTTACGGCCAGGGCGCTTGGCCAGGGCTTGTGTGTTGGGTCAGGGCGTGCAGATTCGGGTCAGGGTGTTAGAGCTCGGGTGTCAAGGGGTAGCTGGGTCAGGGTTCGATTAAAAGGTTCGGTTGTCAGGATTAGGGCTTGGGGCGTTAGGAGTAGAGTGCTAGTGTTTAGGGTTTGGGTGTTAGGGCTGGGGACTTTAGGGTTATAAGGTATCAGGGTTGGGGGGTAGAGGCGTGGTGTCAGGGTTGGGGGGTGAGGTTAGGTTTTGGTTGGAGGGATCGGGTGAGAGGTTGAAAGTTTGGGGGATCGGATTCCAGTAGTCGGATTAGGGGTACTGTTCGCCATGACGGGTTGAGGTCAAGGTCGATTTAGAGGGTAGGGTTACGCTGTTAGGGATAAGGTGTGCGGGTCAGAGCTTCTGGGCTACAGACGCAGGAGTGAAGAAAAGGGGGAGAGACGAATGTACTCTGGGGCTCAGACCCGCCCCCCGAAAAAACACATACATGCTAGTTTGATCGGGGGCATCCAACACTGAGTAAACAAGTTCCAGGGTGGAATTCTAACCTCGATCGGGCAAGTTGTTTGGAGCTTCGGGTGGAAGGAGGAGGAGGAGGCGGAGGAGGAGAAGGGGGAGGACCAGTGTAAACCCAAGAGTCATCAACGATTTTGGAATAAACCTTCCCTCCAAGCTCCCTCTTCATAGGCCCCTACAACGGGTCATTTCCACTGTGGGAACTGCCCCGTTGGAAAACAACCGTTTGAAGACCCTGAAGCATGCCAAAACATTGTTCTCGGGATTCCAACGCCACGGATCAATTTGAGTGTTGCGGGCTTCGACATTGCGAATCAATGTAATTCCTGCACCCTCGTAATTCTGAGTCCTTCCAGAACATCGTTTCTGGTACGCTGATCATGGGAATGTGTTAAGCTCTCGCAAGTTGTTTTTTCCATTAAAAAGCGGATGTGCGCGGCGCTAAGGCGAGGGCATTATTTTGAAAAGGAACCGCCCTCAATCCGTGAAATTCTTGCACGTGTTTAAAATGAATATGCGCGGCGCTAAGGCGAAACCGCCATTTTGAAAAGGAACCGCCCTCAACCAGTGAAACTCTTGAATTCTTGCAAATGTTTAGATCAAATGCGCGCGGCGCTAAGGCGAGAGTCGCATTTTGAAAATTGGTCGCCCTCAACATGTGAAGTTCTTGCACATGTTAAAAGACGAATGTGCGCGGCGCAAAGACGTGAGCCACATGTTGAAAACCACTCGCTCTCCATCTGTGAAACTGTTGTCATGTTTTCAGCTTCAGGGTCATACATGGTGAGGAGGTCTCAGGCAAAACGCATGGCCCGCCCTAAAAACTGGCCTCGGGGTGCGATAGGGATAAGTTATTCATAAGGAAAAGGAATGGATGAGGCGGAGGAGGAGGAGGAGAGGGAGGAGGAGAAGGAGGAGTGGGAGGGGAAGGGGAGGAAGAAGAGGAGGAGGAAGGGGAGGAGGAGGAAGAGGAGGAGGAGATGGGGGAGGAGGAGGAGGAGGAGGAGGAGAAAGAAAAAGGTGAGGATGAGGAGGAGGAGGAGGAGGAGAGAGTAAGAGGAGGAGGAGGGGGAGGAGAAGGAGGAGGAGGAGAAGGAGGAGGAGGAGGGGGAGGAGAAGGAGGAGGGGAAAGAGGAGGAGAAGGAGGATGAGGAGGACGACGACGAAGACATGGAGCAGTAGGAGGAGGAGGAGGACGAGGACGAGGACGAACTGGAGGATCATCAGCAGCATCAGCAGCCGCGGCGGCGGGCCGCCGCCGGGTCAGCGGCAGCAGGCGGCGGCTGGAGTGGCGGCAGCGGCGGGCCGGGCGCCGAGAGGATCTCCGTCGGGCGATGGGCCAGGCGTCCAGTCTGGGCGAGCAGGGCGATCGGCTCGCAGGCGAGCTTCGGCCAACGTCGCCCTTCGTCGCCGCCGCCGCCGCCCTTCGTCTTCGTCCTCCTCCTTCCCCCTCCTCCTCCTCCTCTTCCTCCTCCTCCTCCTCCTCCTCCTTCTCCCTCCTCCATCTCCCTCCTCCTCCTTCCACCTCATCCTCCTCCTCCTTGTTCCCACTCCTCCTCTTCCTCCTCCTCCTCCTCCTCCTCCTCCTCCTTCCACCTCCTCACTTCTTCTCCTTCCACCTCCTCCTCCTCCTCCTCATCCTCCTCCTCTTCGGCTACGTTTGCAGCTATCCACAAACCGAGAAGGTTCGACGCAGGGCATGGGAGTCGGTCTCTGCTGTCCTTCTCTGCCGAGCTGTCGTCCCGCTTGAAGACGGATTCCTGGACGTCACCACTGACCACTGCGGCGCAGTGCGCCCATCCCCATAGTCGGGACAGTTCTGCTTAGGCGGCACCCTTCTCTCGAAGATGAAGAAGAAACGCCATAAACATCAACTATGTGCACTCCGCGCGGATTTCTTGGATCCGCGCTGGGCCCTCCCAGCGGCGCCTCCGGCGCCGCCCCTCGCGCGCTCCGGGTCCAGCGCAGATCCAAGAAATCCACGCGGAGGCCAAAAGTTTGTGTTTATGGCGTTTTTTGCTTTTCTATCCTCCCCCTCCTCTTCCTCCTCCCCCCGCTTCGAGGCTCGAGGTTCTGCGCGTCTTGGGCCCTCGCTTTGCTGGTTTCCCAGTCGCCGTCCAGACGCCCGCCGCTCCGAGGTCACACTGACGAGCAACAAAGTCAGGAGGGGGAAAAAAAAACACAGACGCAGTGAATCTCCTATTCCCCAGAAGATATGGGAACATGTGGGAAGTGTGGGGAAGACAGAAACCCAGAAATTATGGGCAAATATTGGGAATCCTGTTATGTGTGTGTATTTATTTGTGTGTCCCAGGGCCCATTCAACTTTCTTCGTCGGCGGCGAGGCAGGGGCAGTCCGCTCCAGCGTGTGGTCAGCGCTCTGATGTTCCAACCTACTTTATAGCCTTGATCACCAGGGCACCGAAGCTGGAGGGTGTACACGTGTGGGGCCCCTGGGCGGCGATGCTCGTTCGACGTTGTTTCGATAATTACCTGTCTGGGTGCTCGACAGTATATTTCTGAGATGTGGTCCTGAAGTACGCCGGGAGCACCATTGGGCTAGCGGTGACCACGCATCCTGGGAGGCGAGGGCACCGGCCACCCTTCGGCGGCGACGACCGGGGCGAGTAGCCCAGGGGCGGGCATTACACGTATTCGCCGGGCAGCCTTTTCGAAGACATACAGGTGTCAGAAACAATTAAGTAACACTCATGCAGAACATATGGTTTGAACCTCCCCCCCCTCCCCCCAAATGCAATGTTGGTTTCGGATCTTCCGATT